CATAGGTATATAGTGAGAGCTGTTGAAAATTACCGTAGTTCTGTCTCAATTTCTCATAAAACGCTAACAAGAGCGAAAAAGACAACCTGGGTAACTTTTTCAGCTTTCACTGTATATTAAAGCAAAATGGTTTTTTTCTCGGGTTGAAATTCTTCCGAAAAATTTTGGGGTACTCAATGACGCGCGCCAAGCACGATAAAATTTTTATTTTTTTATTTTTAAATTTTCAACAATTTTTTTTTAATTTTTTCATCTTTATGACGGTTTCTTGGTATTTTTTTGTATTTCACATATTTTTGTAGAGAATGAAAGCTATTGAAGTCTTCTTTTTTTTGTAAAGTGCAAATGTTATTGAGATGAGTTTTATAAACGTGGACTTGGCGCAATTTTTTACAGTGAAACTGTTTTTGTTCGGATTGATATAACCGAACCACTAATCTACAGAAAATTATGTCTCAGAATTCGCTGAGACCGTAAATTTCGTACCTCCACTTCAGCCATATTTCACTGAAGCTTAGAACGTCGCTGCTGTTTTTATTTATTTGCAAGATGTTCAGACAATAAATCAGTTGGATGTAGCATTTAACGCATGCCCCGGTTAACCTAAGACAAAAAGATAATAAATCTAACGGCGGTGACGTCATTTTATCTCATTATGACGTTGATGGATCATCACGACTCAGCCTCTAGCGGATCCTATTCATTTATTACTGGAACCTCATTAAAACTCTTTAATAATATAGTGAAGCTATTTACCAATCAATATGAACAAATAATATTCTGAAATATCCTGTAATTGTGTTACAACATTCTTAAATACATTTTTTGAGGAGAGCTTTACCCTAATCTCTTAGATTCGTAATGATGCGGTAAATACATACCTCAATAGAAATATTGGTACGTATATGCGGGATTTTAACACTAGCATAGTTGCATCGTTTTATCCCAGTACACCAGACGTCTTATCTTTTAGGCAGGCGTCAATTGCGGGATTTTTGTTGTGTTCATTGAAAGAGTACAATCTATCACCTAACGCACATTAAAATCCAAGTCGTCCATGTACTCTAATCTCTCTCTATCTCTCCCTCTAATTTCTAATCTAAGAAGGCGGATGGTGGCACTCACTTTGTGATATTTATGGACCCCAGTACCCACTTAACACCAGATGGGCCATGAGTTCGTTAAAACACCTATGGAACAAAAAAAATTTCTGCCGAAATCGTCCAAAATCAGATACCAACCTTCTCTCCGCCATTAGATACACAAGGGACTATTTCAGAGAAATGCTATTACTAACAACACAAATAGACCAACATTGAGGGTCTAATAGTTTTTTGATTCCCACTCGTTTCGCGTTATTCAGTTCTGAAAATAATTCATGATGAAACACCGAAGTACCTACAGCCAGTGACTGCTTTAATTGCACGAATATTACATCTTGCGTCTACCCATAATATGGCTGTGCCGTGTAGCGTACGTAAAGGTGGGTTCATATTATTTTTTAATTATGATTATATTTTAATGGAAACTTTCATTATGTATATTTAATTAATTCATTTTAAACGTCCTTATCGCTCGTTCTATTGATTATCAAGAGATTTTTTTTATGATTGAAGTATTGCTGGTAGCCCGGAGGCTTTTTCAGTTTCACCAGGATAGGTGGGCGAGCAAAGGTTCAGCCAGAAGGGGTGGGATTTGCTAGCAGCTGCCCGAACGCCTCCGAAGGAGACCTAATAATTCAAGAGCAACTGCTTCGTGAATGAATCTACTACCGGATCGGAATCGCGACCCGCTGAGAAGATCCGGCGAGAAACTCAGGTTAGGTGTCAAGAGATTTGTGAAAGCACGTGCCTTATGGACGATTTGATTTTTTTTTGTTCTATTGTATCGTTTAGCTCATAAAAACGGCATTAAAAACTGTATAAATCTGTCAGGACACAAATTTTAATTAAAATTTAATAATTCTTTAATTTTTTAATGTATTTAAAACCAAAAATTACCTTAAGAACGAATCACACTTGACAGCTGTGACAGATTTGAATTCAGTAATTAGAAAGATTTCTGTTTTCTCTTGACAGTTTTCTGTCCATTATTCTGCTAGTTTTATTATCACTAATTCAAATGATTGAATCTAGTAATTTTGATTTTCTATTTCTATCTTCTAACGCTACTACATTTTATGCTTGTATTGTCATTATATACTTTTAGTTTATGTATTTTTGCATGTTGATGTTTATGTTTATATTCGTATGATGAACAGACATAAGACATAAAACAGTCTCAACAAATCCTCTATGCCTCCATAAATATAAGCCTCCGGTACATAGTGGTGACTACTATCACGGTAGCTACTGCCAATAGACATGGCAACGTAATGCCAGTACTGATTTAGAGACATAAAGCGAAGATACAGTATAATAATAAACTAATTAAGAACTTTAAAAACCGGTCATTAAGGTAATTGTCATCTAAAAAATTCCAAAACAAATAATAATAGTCTTTCATGACGTAACATAGTAATGTAATAAAGTGCCGCTAAGAGATTTATAAAAACTGCAGCCACGCCTGTTCTTTATACCAATCTTCAAAATATTTATTGTTGTCACAATAAACGACGACTTATGCTTTT